ATTAATTTTTCAATTTTTCTTGCAAATAACTACTAATTTTATAAAACAGTATAAAAAAGTCACGTTTTAACAATGAAGGCGCAGACAAAAAATACGCAAATACATCATTGATTTGATGAAATGTTAGTTATCGTTTTTATGGACAATTTTGGGATTTCGACTTTTATTTTTTCCTACACAAATATGATCAGTATTCGATACTGAGTACACCCATTTTTATTTGTACTATTAAAAATTAGTGGTAATTTAGGTACTTTAAAATTGATACCGTTTTGTGAAAACGTCTGTATTTGTCTTAGCGGTTATTAGTTGGCCCCTTAACAAGCCGTAATTCTATTTCTGCGTGCTGACAAAGGCTGCGGTGTGATACCTATATTCAGAAAAAAACTTGGTTACTAAAACATTCTTTTTTACAGGTAAGGTAACTGACACGAAACATGGCTACAGCAAAGAAAAAATGTCGACAATATAGTGTCGATTATTTGAAATATGGTTTTGTTCCATCAGAGGCAGACAAACAATTGCCCATGTGCCTATTATGCAACAAAGTTTTGAGCAATGACTCTATGAAACCATCAAAGCTCGAAGATCATCTAAAAAGGTGTCATACTGACAAAATAGGTAAAGATTTAAAATATTTTCAAACATTGAAGGAAAAATATGAAAAGAGACCCACCATGCACAGTATGTTCGCTTCAACATCTCAAAGTAACGATGACGGCTTGCAATATCTTACAATATCTCATTACTTATAGCAAAATCTGGAAAACCGCACACTATCGGAGAACAATTAATTTTACCCGCTGTTGAAGAGGTTTTAAAAACTGTTTTGCACAAATCTCCATTTGACGTACTAAAAAGAATTCCATTAAGTAACAATACTGTTCAAAGACGCATTGATGAAATGAGCTCTGATATCGAAAGTTTTTTGTGCGATCATCTGCAAAAAACTCATTTTTCTATACAACTGGACGAGTCAACGTTACCCGGTAATGAAGCATTATTATTGGCATATGTCCGATTTATTATGGAGGAAGAAATTCACGAAGAATTGCTATTTGCCAGAACTTTAGAGACTGACACTAAAGGCGAATCAATATTTAATGTTCTGAGTAATTTTTTTACGGAAAAATCGATTCCATTTACAAACATTATTTCAGTGGCAACAGACGGAGCTCCTGCAATGGTCGGGCGATATCGTGGGTTTATAAGTCATCTCAAAAGAATTATACCAGGACTTACAGCTATTCATTGCGTAATCCACCGACAACATCTTGTGGCAAAACATTTAAGTGACAGGTTGAACCGATCTCTTCATTTTGTAATAAAAGCTGTCAACAAAATCAGAAGCAATGCATTGAATACGCGTTTATTTGCTCAATTGTGCGATGAAAATGATGAAGACTTCCAACGACTGCTCTTACATACTGAAGTACGCTGGTTGTCGAAAGGCGCATGCTTAACGAGATTTTACTCTGTTTTCGATTCCGTATTAGAGTTCCTAGAAAGTAGAGATCCAGATTTAAAAGAAAACTTGATCAAATTCAAAGCAGACATTGCGTATTTGACAGATTTGTTTAAAAAATTTAATGATATCAACTTGCAGTTACAAGGGGACAGCCTGAATTTAATAAAAACAAAGGGGATAATTTCGGCTTTTCTTGGGAAATTGAAATTTATGAAGCAAAACATTAGTCGGCGCGATTTTCTCAATTTCCAAACTTGTCGCAGGTAGAATGTATTGATGAGGATATCCATACCTACAGTCAACATTTAAGTGCCCTGCATGATGACTTTAAAACCAGGTTTGAAGATATGCTGACGATGGATATACCACCATGGATCATAAATCCATTTGAATTTGATGAAACGGAAGTGGCCAATGTTGTATTACAAGAGGAGCTGCTCGAGATAAGCACCAATGAGGAGCTGAAGGTGAAATTTAGAAAAGGCTACCAAACATTTTGGCTGCAAGCAGAAATACCCGAAAAATATCCTGGACTGTGGGAAATCGCAAAGAAATTTTTAATAGCTTTTCCCTCGTCATACCTTGTCGAAAGGAGTTTTACTGCCGTTACAAACCTCTTAACAAAAAAAAGGAGCAAATTAAACATCACAGAGCGGGGGGATTTGCGATTATTGCTCACAAAAATAAAGCCAAACATTGATCGTTTGCTGACACTTCGTCAAATACATCCTTCCCATTAATTAAAATTATAACCTGAACCTATATTACCTTATTATTTTTTTCTAATAGTAATTCTATTCTTTTAATAAATAAAATATAGGCACAGAACTCAAAAACGACACAATTTTTATTTTTTGGCGACTTTAAGAATGTGGTAGAAATGTAGCAGCAGGGGGTCCACCGACACCAGTAAAATTTTGAAAGTGGTCCACGAGAAAAATAAGTTTGGGAACTACTGATCTAAATATTTAAAGGAAAGTAGAAGAATACAAGGTTCAATTTTCAATGGGATTTTTTAAACTTTTTTTACATTTAGCTGTAGCGTATTATACATGAAATTAGATGATTTTTGTCGTAAAAATTGCGTTAAATCAAAGCTGATTCATTAATAGCCAATTAACGAGGTCGTAATGTTAGTAAAGGGGCAAGCATACTACGTCGTTGGTAATTGACACAATTATGTGTTGACTTCTAAAGACCTTATGATGAATTGTGAAGTATATTCTTAATTACTTTTTGATATAATGCGAGCGTGAATAATCTCCCATCGTTCAACTTCAAAGTTACTTGATGTCAAATATAAAACATTTTTAAGTAACATTAGATCTCGTTGTGAAAGAGTTTGTCCTGGGAAGTACTGCCACTTTACGTATTTCTGCCGCCAAGCAGTAATGTGAGCATTACTGCGTTCCGGTTTTCAAGGGTAAGTAAGGGTGCTGGTGGAACTACAGGCACATGGGACTTATCAACTTGTGTCTCAGCGTGACAGGCGCAGTGGCAGTGTCCTCTTATTTTTGCGATTTAAAGCTCTGAGTGGCACTACAACTGTGATGGACAGGTGTATCGTTGACAAGCAGGCGGACGACTTGTTCGTTTTGTCACTTTGTATCATAAAAAAACACCAAATTTAATACATTTTCAAAATCATACGTGAAATTGAAATAGCAAATGGGTTTCGAAATGTCTAGAATTTGTAGTTTCGTCAGGCAAATTTTAGACTTAGAAGTTCAATTCCGAGTCTTAAAAATCGTTACTCCCTTTAATATTTTTTCGATGGGACCTAGCTGAGTGAAAAAATAAATTTCTCACAGATCAAACAAAGTTTTACAACAAGCACATACTAAAATTCGTAGGATCCGCTGGTTCATTCCGTGGCTTAGTTAGCATGGCGTCTAGCGCGGTTTACTGGAAGATGCTGGTTCAAATACAGACGAGTAATTTCAAACTAGAAGAGTAATTTCATAAAAAGTCATTGAAGTAGTAAAACATCGCAATATTCAATAAAATAAATCATACCAACGCAAGCGTAGTCACGACGACTTTACGTTACGACGTTACGTTACGTTACGACGACGACGTTATTGTCTACTACATTTACGATTCTAAAGAACGAATCGACAAATTTACAAAGTACGTACCTACAGTAAGCTTTGCACCTATAATATACAATCGAACTATTTAATATATATATGAATGACTAAAATTGTAGCCACTATGATTACGAGCGAATACAAATGCGATACAATGCGAAAAGTCCATAATGAAATCTTGTAGCGATTCTATTTCATGCTTTTGTAAAACTCGAAATTAGTTTGGCATTTTCATTAACTCGTTATTCGTAATATGAAACAAGCGTCTGGTATAAAGTATTATGGGCCAATTGTCGCGTTACTTTTCATTGTTACAGAGACTGAGGCTTGCGGACCACCACCACCACCAAGATTTTATTACTCGCCCGGTGGTCCACCAACTCAAGCAGAATATGACCCATACTCGAAATGGAACTATCCACCGCCTCCGGGATGGTACGAAAGTGAGAACTGGCCCCCCAGCCCTTATAGGGTTATGGACTACATTGAATTTATGAAACAGTATAAAAAGTTCGTATTCATTTAAATAATATAATCAGAACATAGGTACCGGGACAAAAGAATGACTGAATGAGAGAATGAAGAACAGCCCAAGGCGTCAAGTTTGGTGTGCTCTTGACTGTACTTATGTATGCTAGCAATTATAACATTATTATTGTATATTACGTTTATAATATCTTTGAATTAACTGCAGCAAACCTGATAGTACGTAAATAATAGTGGTGTACCGCAAGGACCGTATATTATAGACGATGTGCTCGTTTCATAGCAAACAGATTCCGCGTTTCATCGAAGCTATAATAGAAATAAATAGAGCTATAACATTGACTTACAAATAAATGGACGACGGGTCTAATACAAAAACCACGAAAAAAATGTCCCAAGTCAACCTATTCCAAATTTAAATTGTAATGTCATCGCAGTATCGCGCTGTCAGTAGAACAAATGAAGACTAAAGCGGAGTTTGGCGCTCTGTATACGATTTTAGCGCCTTACAAGTGCGGACACTTTTTAGCGCGGACCCGACGTCCATATAATTGTAAGTCAATGAGCTATAACGAAAACATTCAATTAATTTGTTATCGAGGACTTTTGTTATAGAAAAACGCAGGAAGCGAAGGATAGAGCGATAAAGCAAGCTCAGGATGCGGCTGACAAAACAGATGACAGTGTGGTCTCGGACCCGAGCAATCCTTACAACTTGAATCCGGGTGGTATAATGGGACCTAAGGGGCCATTCGGCCCAGATGGGCCATTTGGCGGCGGCAAGATAGACTTCAGTCCAGAAGGTGATGGGGGATTTGGAGATAAAGGACGTTACGGTCACGACGGAAGATTTCGTCCAAAAAAAAGTCTCGACCGTCAACCGTACGAACATGACGGAGTTTACGCTAACTATCCGACGGCTTGGGCGGTAGCGGGCATAAAACCTGCGAATGCCATTCACGACGGGGTTCCCAAAGACGTCGATGAAGACTGGCCCAACACTTGGCAAGGTAAATTCAAATTCTGAATAACTTTCTTTTATAGGCAATCAAATTGCATTTGAAATTGTCAAATTTATTAAACACTACTCATTCGTAAGATTGATTCCCTTGAAAAGAATGAATAAAAAACTCAATGTCAAGAGGTTCCACTTTGTAAATAAGACATTATTCCTAGAAGCAACCTGAAATAACTAAATAGATCACTCCCATGAATTTTCCAAATGCACAGAAATTGTACGTCTGGTATAACATTTTTGTTTTAGTTGTAAACGTCGTAAATGGTTAATTTTGAATATCAACAGGAATTTATTATAGAAGCGTGTGCCTTTATATGAAACCGATTCTCATAACTATCGGTACATATTTTTGTTCTTTTGGATTCAAGATGTCATCGTTGTGTTCAAATGTCAAAATGTTCAAATGTGACCAATATCAATAAACTAATCAACATAAGCAGCTGATCTGATGGCACAGTTAACTAATTGGATGAATGAATAATTTCATGTGGTAGGTAGACGCATAAATTTGTCCTCGTCCACGGCAGGGGCATTAGAGCGCATTTATTTGACACGAATCTCATCGCGCTCACGCGAAGAGTGGTCTCCGCGTTGCCGCCGCGCAGCGACCGCGTGCGTCTAACTGTCATGGCAAAATACGCTCTATTTGTGTAGCTTTTACGTTTTAAAATGAGCGTCCCGGGCACGCGGGCAAAACTGGCTTGAATGTGGTCTACGCAGCTGCCCGCGCGGTGGCCGAGCGGTTGTATTATGCAGAGGAATTTAAGTGTTGTTGCCTGGTATATAGAATTCAGATTCGCCATTAATGTACATGAAGGCGTGGTAACCGGGCAGTTGCCGCGCGGCGGCCGCGCGCAAACTTTTGCCGCGTGTAACTGGGCGCTTACGGGGGTGCAGGGGCGGGCTTGTGTTGCAGTGCAACACAAAGTAAAAATGTGAATGCACAGGTAGTAACAATATTTTTTGACAGTTACAAGGCACACACTCAACATAGCCCCGCACTAGGGAAAACCCTGTGTCGCGGGTGCCATGGACACACACATAGACAACCCAAATTACACCCAAACTCACGAGAGAAATAAATGTAGGCCATACAAATATTTCTCCTGGCCCGGGAATCGAACATGGGACTTCTGCGTGGCAGTCCGGCTAGCTTAAATGGTAACCGTTAGGCCACGGAGGCAGCTAAAAGTTCTAACGATAATATAATAATAATCTCAGTACAGAGTACTAAAAAAACCGACCTCAACAATACGTGGAATTACGTCTATTTGCTAAGTTTTATTGAAATATTTGTTTTTTTTTTTTGGCAGAAGTAACTAAAAATTACTAAACCCAAAATTTTCCATGTGGCCACCAGGGACCCAGACTTCCTGGCGCAAAAAGCACAAGCTAGTAGCACTTACACCTTACATAACTTTGCCTTTATTTACCTCTATGGTGACAGATTATTATACCAAAAACGAAATAGAGTAATAGACATGGTCAGAAAACCTAGGTCTAATTTAAATGTACGGAATTAAGTAAATGAATGTTAGACAACATCACATATGTTGCTTTGATCCCAAAGTAACTAACTAAAGCACTTATATCATTGACAATAAAAAAGTTAATTTCTATATTAATCCGACCGGGGATCGAAACCGGGACCTCAGAGATGGCGACATCATGAAAACCGCTGTTCAAGCCACTCCAAGAAGGTCGTCAAATTCGCCGTCAAATTAGATCCGTGCCCCAAAATAAGTAACGGTAAAGTGTTTGCATAGATATTTTCTAATTCGTTTGGGTAAATTATCTAACAGCTCTTGAGTCTGCCATCCAGTCTGTTTTGATTTTTGGTCTATCCCGTTTCGTTATCCCGAATGACGTTAAACTTTTAAACAAGTCACTTTATATAACTGTAACTGTTGTATTTTTCAAAGGAAACGAACTATTTCTTCGATACATGAAAGCCCTACGAAATTAACGCTAGACTACGAATTTCAGAAATCATTTACTGTTAATTTTTGATTATACATATTTCAACGTCCACCTACGGAAGCCGGTGATACCAAAAAATTGAACGGTCTTTATCAAATAGAATAAAACTTATCAGAAGGAATGTACAAAATAATTAAAGCAGTAGAGCTCCTTGTGAACTTTTAGTCTGTTTTCAGGATTTTATATGATCCGGTGAAATATCGTGTAAAAGACAAGGCTCTGTCCTCTCACCCCTCCTATTCTCCCTGTATACTAGAGATATCCCGTAGTATCTTTCAGTAAATCTCGCCCTCTTTGCCGACGACACTGCGCTCTATTATTCGGCGCTCAGCTCCAAATTAGTTTCCGCAGTTCTCCAATCTGCCACCACACGCCTAGTCGACTGGTTTCGCAGATGGAGAATCAAAGTCAATCCTGACAAAAACGTCGCGGTACTCTTCACGTGAAGTAACCTATCCAGTCGTGGGGTATAAAACCTCACCCCGATCTCGCTCTTTGGTCGCCTAATCCCTTGGGTGAACACGGTCAAATACTTAGGAGTTACGCTCGATAGGAAGCTGTCATTCAAAGCACACGTGAAAACCGTCCGCGATCGCGCCCACTTTGTTAGGAGGCGCCTCCACCCCTTCTCAATAAGCATAGCAAACTCTCCCTTCGTGGTAAGGTGAGATTGTACACGACCAGCATCCGCCCAAACATGACGTACGCTCTTACGTACGTAGGCTCTTCAAAATAGATTCATGCGCAATGCGACGGGTGCCCCGTGGTACCTGCGCAACGCTAACCTCCATATAGTTTTCCGGCTCCCCACAATAGCCGAATTCATGAGCAGGCATCGAGGAAATACTTCGACTCTGCTCCTCGCCACCCCAACCGCCTCGTGGTGGATGCATCCAACTACGACTCCCTCAGGGAACACCCCTACCGCGTACGTAGGACCCGTCGGCCAAGGGAAGTCCTCAACGACCATGGTGACCCTACCACTCTCGCCACTTTGAAGGCCAACCAAATCGCACATCAGTCCTCCATCTCCACACGCACCAACCGTCCTCGCCGGCGAGGTCGTAGAGCCCCTCATTTCAGCACGTATACTGGTAGATTCTCTCCTATAGCCCTTCTGGCGGAAGTCTTCATTAGCGCCCTGAGCCGAGGTTCGTGCTCATTTGGGCGCCCTCAGGCCCGCTACTTAGTTTTAAGTTTATTTTACCGGTGATGAGCCTTCTGCTCGCCCTTTTTTTCCGGTGGCGCAGTCAAGGCCATCAGCGGCCAACTGCAAACTGTCCTTCAAAAAAAAAGCGCCGATCAGTGTGAGCCAGCGCGCCCTGCGCGATGGACGATCCTTTTGTATGACCGGCCGTCACTACAATAGTAAATACCTGAATCATTTGATCTAGCAAAACAGTTTTTCCCGCTTCTCCTCCGGTGACATGCCTTAAAAATTTAAGTAACACTGCTACTATTATGTGTAGGAGCGTCGCTTACCATCAGGTTCTCTTGTTCATCCTATTACTTGATATTATAACCGCTCACGCGATGCGCTCCTCCTACCGCAAAATGGCGGCTATTTGGTTTCGCAAATTAGAAAAACATTCAGTTTAAATACAAGTTTGTATAAATAAAAATTATTATTCTGCATTGCTAAATAAATACCCTCCGTACTACCAACAAAAATATTTCAAATAAAATGCAGCAATACACCGCAAATCCTGCACTTAAAAAGCACTAATAAAATTTTTGGTGTACTTGGATAAATATGATAATATTCGGTTTGAGTGGTTCCAACGTTTACTATGAAATTACTCCTTAAAGTATAGTTTATAAATATTTATATTCAGGGTAAACTTAAAAAATGCTACTTACGGTATGTTTTCAATAAATAAACACCGAAATCACCAGCCCAAACAATAACACACGCGATTGTCCTGACGTATTTTTGAAGTTGTTTATTTTTTTTTAAATGACAGACTTAGGCATTAAAAACTTTATGGTTTGCTAGAGTAGTTACCGAAATAGCAATTAATATTAGTTCTGTTACCTGTTATAACTTCGATATCCGATAAATCGGTATAAAATCATCACCGGCACCTCTAGGTGTGATATGCGTCTACGGCTGCATGTGTCGCGTGAGCGGATAAAAAATATAACGCTAAAATTTTCACATTTACCTACATTATACTCATTATTGAATTAATCGGCCGTTTGTCATGGTACAGGTTTCGGCCTACCAGATAAAGGTGCTGAGCCTCCTCCGATGGCTATGGGTCCAAATACTTATGGGACTTTTTACGACTGTCACGAGAAACCCGTTCGAGGCGATTGCTGGGGTCGTGAACTCAGGTAAGAAGACTTTCTAGTCAACGTATATCAACGCAGTCTTTATAGTCTAGACAGTTCTAGAACGTTCCACCGATCAATTAACGTTGAAGTTATGTAATCCGGGGTATATAAAAAACAATATAAAACGAACCGGCGGGCCAAGAAGTACCCTTTCAAAGGAGCCGGTGTGGTTTCCATAAGGCTTGATGTCAAGCCCGAATCACTGCACACTATGTTTTTTAGGTTTGTTTTATAGGAAATTAAACTATTTTTCCGGATTTAAATCGCGAATATTTGTTTTTTCAAACAAACCAACGTTTCGGGCCCTTTACAGTAAAGGTTCACGGTTGACTACGGTTGAGTCAACCATGATCATGGGACCTGTAAAGGGCCTGAAACGTCGGTTTGTTTAAAAAAACAAATATACGCGAATTATATTAATTTAAATCCGGAAAAATAGTTTCATTTCCTATGCATATCTGCAGTTAACGCGTATGGTCGTGACCAGCTGCATGCTGTCGAGACATAGTAGAATAAAACAAGTAGGGTAACTCCATTCAAAATAACAGCGTGGCTTGTATGTGTGCACAACCGCCGCACGTCGTTTATGGTTGCTCACATGCGTAGGTATTTTTGGATTTTGTATGAGAGTAATGTATCTGTAACGTAGTAACTAATAAGTCATCTGTGATAGTACTATAATTAAATAAACTGAGTTAAATTTTGACATTCATGTATCGTAGGTATACATAGTAGGGCCTGCAAGGTTCCGCCTGTAGATAAGTAAGTGTAAATTTAACCAAAACGCTTTCCAGGCATGCTTCATTGTTAACTACCTAATTATTTTACAATATGCAACTTGTTTTGTTTCAGATGGGCTTATGATCCATATTGGCAAGACTGTTATAGATTTCTTTGGGGTGGTTGTGGTGGGAACAAAAATACTTTCATAACTTACGCCGTCTGTCGCGAAATATGTGGACGCGGTTCTCAACAAAGGCAATGCAAGCATACGTATAAATTTGAAGACTATATAGAATGGCCTGGTGAGAACTTATACACCTCCGAACGTGCTTCGTCCAGACTGCGTAATAGAAGAATGAATACTAATAACAATAATACTCAAAATGTGTTGCAGAAGATTATAATAAACAAACAACCAGCAAAAGGAACATATGCGATACTAAATATTCTGAAAAATAAACAACAAACACCGCATCAAGATAAAGAAACGATAAATCCTGAGAAACGAATATTGGAAACAAGCACAATAAAATTATTATCGAAAACAGATAAACCTGCTAAAAATTCTAGTGCTGAAGTGAGCCCAATTACAAAAAACACAAAAGTATCAACCATTTCTCTAAAAAACAGTAACGTAATTATTAGTAATAAACGCGCTGAAATCGAAACATCTAACATTAACGACACCTTTGTTAATAACCATACTAATGTTACAACTGATAATAGTAACAAAACTTCTTTTAATAATTACAATGACATAACCAATTCCACTTCTAACACACACATTAAACAAAATCCCAGTTATGATCATGCTAATATTACCTCTTCTTACATTTACACAAATCCTGTGAATAACTACACTGGTATTACCACTTCTAATATTACTAAAACTTCCGTTACTAATCATACTGATATTACCTATTTTAACATTAATAAAAATTTTGCTCGTAACAACGCTAATATAACCTCTTCCAATATTAACAAAACTCCTTTTCATTATTACACTGATATAATCAATTCCAACAACATTGATATTGCCACTTCCCATATTAATAAAAATTCCACTTATAATCGTACTAACATTGCCCCTTTTTACGTTTACGCAAATCCCGTTAATAACCGTACAGGTATTACCACTTCTAACATTACAAACGCTTCCGTTATTGTTACCTCTGGCATTAACATTTTTAACATTAATGAAAACATCACCAATAGTCACGAAACTTCCAAAATTAACAAAGCAGCCGTTACAAACCACCCACTTACAACTTCAAAATACCACAAATAATGTAAGTAACAAAGAGGATCCGACTAGCAAAACTGATAAGTTGTTAAGTCGGTCATGAATATATAAATACAAGCTACGTGTTTTATTTTCGTTGTGTTGATTGGTATCCTGAGCACAGCACTCTCATTTTGATGTGAACATTAAGGTCATAAGCCACAATTCTGGCTGACTGGCATTTGAATTACATTCACAGGAAATAAAAGTATTTTTATTAGATCTAAATCACGTTTATATGTTTTTCAAACAAATCAACGTTTCGGGCTTTCTACAGGTCCCATGGTCACGACAATAACCAACGTATAACAATCGCCAAAACCTAAGAATTTTTTTCATTCGTGGTCCAAATACGTTAAAGCGTACAGTACTATTTTTTACAGTAAAAATGAATAGCGAAAACCCCACCGACAAGACTCTAGCTCTTAAATAATGACACGAAGAAGTAATAGCTCTGAAATTATATTATTATATATTTTAACGAGATAGCATTAGCAGGCTTTATACAGACACTCTATTGCGCGTGAAACTGCAATCGTGCGCAATTGAGCGCGCGTGTAAAGATGTTGGAAGGAAAAGGGAAAAGCCACGCGATTGCGCTCATCAGCCGCGCATGCAATCGCGCACTATCACTCTCCTGCACGATTAGCCTTTACACGGACGCTCTTTCCGTTGTAACAAAAACGAACACGAGCAATTGCGCGCGAAATAACGTTAGTTTAAAAAAAATCAAACAGGTATTTGCGCACGATCGAGCGTGCAAGCTTTCCCGCGCGCAATCCGATAGAGTGTCTGTGTACAGGGGGCTATTGTTATACGAACTCATTCTCTAACATATTAATTAACGTGGACATGACGACCTTGGAGGCCCAACGATTTGCACTGTATGAGGAGATCCCGAGCTCAATTTCCAGTAGGATCATTTTAGAAAATAAACTTATAAATTGGTTGGTTTAGTGTTTTGTGAAGTGCCCCACTTGAAGCGAATCCCATTGCTATGGTACTCTTAATACAGGGAATTTCCTACTTTGATACCAGCTAATTGATGTAATTGTTGATAACTCATATTAATCTATATAATAATTATCTGGTACATCTTATACCCGCTTTGATATTTGGTTTGTGTTGAGCAATAACATGCTATATTTATATTACGGGATGTTTCTTATTGGAAACATGTGAATATCACCACCAGAACATCAGAACCACATTCGATTAAAAGTTTAACAAAGTAAATAATTTGAAATAATGTTTACCGGATCGAAGAGATTTTGAATAATCATTTCGAAGTTTGAACTTTATACAATTATATACTAATTACGGCATGATGGTGAAATTACAGGCACATGGTATGTGTTAACTTATGTCTCAGGGTGACGGGCGCAGTGGCAGTCTCCCTGAGATCTTTGCGGATTAACGCTCTGAGTAGCATTGCAACTGATATGGACAGGCGTGTTGCTTAACACCAGGTGCACGACGACTTGTTCGTTCCGTCACTTGATATTGTAAAAAAGAACTTGTGGATCCTCAATATATATATATATAGATCCCACAGGAAGATCCCACTGGAATTCCAAAGTCCTTACTTAAATATGTCATTTTTACTTATTATAGTAGAAGAGCAGCAATAGAAACTCTGGAAATCTAATTGAAATGTTTAATTCCAAATGCCACAATTTTTATGGATCCAAAGTTTCAATCAAATCGACACTCTGTGCAAAGTTTAATTCTATTTTGGATGTAACCTTATGAAACACAAAGACATTCAGGAGACGCGAACAAGAGACTCATAAAAAGGCGTGGTAATTATTTAAGGCGCATTGTAATTAATTAATTATTAATATAATACAGAATGAAAATTTTAAAAAAGGAAAGTTCCTCAAGGCCATACCCTGGGGCATCGTGCCCAGAAGACTGGCAACATTTCCCCTTTGAATACCTAAACTTATTCTTTGGCAAAAATAACTGCCAGCCCTGTGATCTCCGGAGGCTTCTACAAGACGATGCGACAGCTCGTTCGCTAGAAGTTTCGCCTGTGGCCTCCAGGGACCCAGGTCATCAACCTTATTTTTGTTAAATTAAATTATTAATAAATTTCGATCAACAGACCCAAACGCTACACTTATTGATTTCTAGTTTTTGGCGATTGGCCCTTTAAAAATAGCAATTGCAAAAGCTTAAGAACTCGATAATTACCTTTAAAATATATCTTTAACTTTGTAAGTTTATTAAGTGACAAGAAAAATAAATACTTCATGTACGTACAAGCTTCCAGTACTGGTCCATCTTGGTCAAGTCGCTAATAACAAGTGACAAAATCGGCTAAACAAAAGCACACGAACTCACGAAATCAGCCAGAGCAACACAATAGTACCGGTAGAGCGCTTTGTGAAAGAGCTCATTCAAAGAAGTACTGCCGCCTTACTAATTTCTGCCGCCAAGCATGAGAGCATTATTTATTGAGGTCCGGTTTTGAAGGGTAACGGCGCTGGTGAAATTACAGGGACTTGTTAACTTATGTCGCAGGGTGACGGGCGCAATGGCAGTGACCCTTAGATCTTAGCGATTTAAGGCTCTGAGTGGCACGGCAACTGCTGTGTTCGACGACTTGTTCGTCTCATCGATTGGTATCATAAATACAAGGCGTGCGTCAAAAAAGGTCACAACACTGAGCAATGTTCAAATTTTATTTTTCGTAATACTGTTGAATATGCAGAGCTGGCTAGTTTTAACTAACCCAAAATCCTGTAACACGGCATTCCAATTTTTTTTATTTTTACCTACAGTTTCCCAAAACGTATTTAGATTAAAGATACCAAAAAGGTATTAAAAATGCAAAAAGAAAATTATGTTGTAATTTCACACATCACTATTATACAAATAAGTTTTAGGTTATTACTCGATTAATACAAACATAGACTTCCTTGTAAAACCTCTTTTTTAATCTTTTTGTTTCCATTGTTGTTAAATAAATGTATATCTCAGTAATGAGCAATCAGGGCATTGCCGACGATAACACCCTATGAGCAGACGCATGTTGTAAAACATTACAGCGCGTAGCGCTAAGCGCAAACTCGATCGACCAACACTAGAGACAGATTTTTTAAAATGCGTAACTTAAAAAAAGTATTACATAGATAGATAGATAAACACTTTATTGGTCACACACAAGAACAAGAATAGTACATAAACAACTTAAAATTAATGTTTGCAAAGGCGGTTTTATTAATAAGAGCGATCTCTTCCAGACAACCTTTGAGGTAGAGGAAAGCTAATCGGAGCGGGAGACGTAGTGTGCCAATTTTACAAATAAAAATAAATAGGCTAATTGTATAAATAAAAAAATACAAAATAAATACACTATATGAGACGGGGCAGCAAGGCCAGACACCTTAATCGTTGTAGTTATAGGCAAACGATTCTAGAAGACTATCCATGAATTTGTAAGATATTTTGATTGGCATTCACAGATTTTGAAAAATTGGTACAGTCAGCAAGATAAAAGGCAATTTTTACAAACTTTCTTTTATGCCATTCGGACCTGTCTCTGGTAAGGATTAATAGTCTCTATGGGACCAACTGCGATAAGAGTACTCGAAATGTCAGAAATCGCAAAAAATCTTTTACCATACATTTTGTAGGGATCTATTTAGTAATCAGTTATTCTAGGTTATTTTTTGTTAAAGGAGCCACATTCTTCAAGATTCCTTAAAATATTTATTATAATTATATCTACAAAACTTTTTTTTGTCATTCGATCCGGTCTCTGGTAAGGGTCAATAGTCTCTATGGGATATACAATGTATTATTTTCATTTTACTTAACTGCCTTCGTGGACTAATGGTTACCATGCCGGACTGCCACGCAGAGGTCCCAGGTTCGATTCCCGGGCCGGGAGAAATAGTTGTATGGCCTACAATTATTTCTCTCGTGAGTTTGGATGTAATTTGTGGTTGTCTATATGTGTGTCCATGGCACCCGCGACACAGGGTTTCCCTAGTGCGGGGCTATGTTGAGTGTGTGCGTTATATATATATATATATATATATATATATATATTTTAACTTTTTTTTGCCATTCGATCCGGTCTCTGGTAAGGATCAATAGTCTCTATGGGATATACAATGTATTATTTTCATTTTCATTCTTAAATTTTTTTTGTTCTAAGGATCGAAATGCAGTGTTAAGGTAATTCGAGCTGCAAGCCGTCGGGCTCACTATCCCTTCAAAGGACGAAAAGTATTACATGGACACATTTTCGTGATCTCGCTGAAATTTGAAGTATCTCGGACGCTCTGTCAATATTATTCGAAAAGGTTTAGATAAAGATGAAAGGTTATTTTTAACCAAAACAGAACGCCCTTCTATCGAAGATTTAGAGTACCTAACACATATGTATATTTCAGTAGATTTATTGTTACAACTGTATAAAAAAGCTATACATATTTTTTCTAATTAGTACGAGTAAACAGTTTGTTTTGTATTCATTATTATTAAAAGATTTTTTAGTCAGTAAAAAAATTGCTCATATTACCGATAAAATATTTACGCCCGTTACTTAATAACTTTTATAAAAACGATATATACGAGTACATGTAGGCGGTGCTATTGATAGATCTACCAATGCGAGGTTGAAATGATGAAACGTGTACTAAAAATGGTGTAACAACTTTTATAACGAGAAAAAACATGAAAGTATACAAGCAATACGCTGAATTTTCTAACAATGATAATGATAGTACAGATTGCCGACCTTCGGGCTACAGACGAAACGGCAGCAAGCTATAAAACCCAGCCACAGTCTACTAAGGCGGAATCAGAAACAATGTAAGTGTATCTTTGCGTAATAAAACTCATATTCGAACATCTGGCCGCAGCCTCAATATCTCAAGAGCGAATGCGGAGTTTTCCCTTTTTTTCCAATTTCCCGGGGCGTGCTCGGCGCTCCGTATTTATTATTATTTGTTTTCAATTGCAAAGTAATCTGCGGGCTGTGCAGCTGGTGGCAAGATGAGAGT